TGCAATTGCAAAAGCAAAAGATATTGCATCTACATTAACAAGTTTTGATTCAGATTTTAAGGCTTCATGGCAATGGCTTGATCGTTTCAGGACACGTTGAGGTCTGCATAAAATGCTTTGCTTGGAGAAGGCGTAGAGGTTGACAAGAATGATCATGGTTTACTATAAACTTTGGAAGTATTATCTCTCATCATCTCTTAGTACATCCTGAGAATGTGTAAACATGGACGACACAATATTGTTTTTTTGTTTGCTTCCCAGATATTCAATTCTTCTGCCGAACAAGGATGACTCAAGCACCAGAGGTAAAAAAAAAAATCAAAAGATCGTGTTTCTTTGATAGTTTGTGTCAACGCATCTGGATCATATAAAATTCCTTGCATAATGATTGAAAAGCCATGTTAATCAGCTTGCATCAAAGATCAACAGTGGCCAATTCCTTATTTCAATCAAGCGAAGGCTTTGATAGACGTGAAAATCTATTGGAGATGGTTCAACAAAATCTTTGTTCCAGAAATCAAGAGACGAACATGACATCCCGTTCTTTTACTGATAGATAATGCACCAAGACACTTCGATGTTTTTGAATATGACAACATACGTGTGGTAGTTTTTCCTCCGAATTATGCCAGTTGGAAACAACCTTGTGATTAGGTGATTATTGTTGCTCTTTAGATTTGATATAAATATTTAAATCTCAAGGATATACTTGATTTTTACGAGCTTGACAAGAAGTTGAAGGAGAAGAAAAGAGAATTTGGAAAAAGATTACGATTATGTGCAGCATGAGTTTTTTTATGGAAATCCAACACATCTATTTGACGCTGCAAGCTATGTGAAAGAAGCTTAGAATTCAATCTCTTCAACATGTATAAAAAACGCATTTTGCAATGTATAGCTCATGAATTTGAAACCCGAACCAGGGGTTGAGAGCAAAATTAATTTGATTGTTAGTTTGATGAAATTAGTTAGTTGAATCGATCAGCAACTTAAATTTATCGATTAATGAAACAGATTTGGGAAATTTTGTTCACATTGACGACGAAAGCAGTGAAGAATATGCTTTAGCACTACTAGAAGACATCGAGGAATTGTTAAATTCAATGACTTTTGATGTTGATGAAGACTATATTGATTTAATGGAGGAGATTATAGATTCACAAGATGTGATTGATTTTCATGAATTTGAATCTCTGCATAAGAAGATTCTTGAAATTGAGGAGCAATTGCTCTATTCTTCAGTTCAGATAGAAGCTCAAGATTCATTCGATAATCTGAAAAAATTATTTGAAATATTCTAAGCTAAGGTACGAGCAGTAGTACTTAAATCTAGACGTAGAAAAAACCAGAACATGCGTCAGATTACATATCACGATATATTACATTGAAATCTTTGAAATTTATAATGAAATTTTTGAACTGTACAGTGAAATCACTGAAATTTACAATGAAATCGTCAAAAATATTGAAATCCTTAAAGTTTACAGTGAAATCATTGAAAATACTCTAATCAAGTGCATACTTAAGTGTGAGGTTATTGGAGTGACATTCAACTCTAACACCGATGTATGTTACAATTAGAAGCTAATATTGAAGATTAGACAATTTACTTTTGTGACACCTTTCAATAGTGACGAAAAATCCTAGTATCAATGTATGTCACTATTGGAAGGTTTAACTCCGTACATAAATATTTGATTTCCTATAAATTTCAATTATTTTTAATCCCAACAATATTTATTTATTAAAAAAAATAGTAGTTTCATGAACTACATCATGTAATCATTTAAAATCATAATCTTGTAGAATCAATACACAATAGATAACATACAATCAGAATTCATATATCTAATCATATGTATATTTTAAAATTGAATATTAAAATATAAAGAAAATGATAAAAAAACAAAAATTCTGTTTAGATATGATTGATAGTCTAACATAGTTGTGTTGAATAATTGTTATTCTATCATTATTTACATCAACAAAAAATTCTATTTTAATGTACATAATAATGTTTGATAATTTTATTGAAATTATATTCATAATCTCAAATTTTATAAATAATTATACATATATATTGAGATATATATGAAAATAGGGTTAAATTTATTTTTTTCATGTTTATTAATGAATAAAAAAATTTGAATTTTTAAAATTACATGTAGCTGAGAGTGGCATTATTTTTGTGTGTTTGTACTTAGAATATTAGTTGCTCGAATTTTTAATAAATGAGGTCTTTGGGTATCAACTGAAATGATGAGTACTTGGCAATCAATGTTACATAATCATTGTGTGTCCTTGTTTGATTGTAATTCTAAATTCTAATTTGTTGAGTTTATGTTTTTCATTAATAAAAACGTTTGTTTGGTTGTGTGATTTGGTATAGTATTTTGTACTTATGGTATCAATTGGAATAATATTCAGGGTGTATTGTGAATTTGACAATTTATACGAAAAGCGGTGCGAACAATTTATTCGAAATTGTTCGCACCAATGTCTTATGAAAAACTTAACACAATCCCTAGTTCAGTGTGGACATCCTGATTTAAGAATTAAACGTGATTCATAATTCAGAAAGTTTCCATAAAGCACATGATTTCTGTACATTCTGGTAATGTGCTGTATCCAGGAGGAAAAACTTTTAGCAAAGATTCGCTTCTCGACTTTAGTTCCGTTAATGATTGCATCGTTTTGCTTTTTACGTGGACCCATTTCTCTTTCCGCTAATTTACCAATCAAACAGGCTGGCTATGCATTGCTGCTATGTTTGTTTCTTAAGGACATAGGAGGCGGTTACTTGAAACGCCGATCGACTACTGTACAGTCAAATCCTTGAGGAAAACAAGAAGCACACCTGAATGAAAGGGGTTTCTCGCACCGGAAATGGCAAGTCAACATCGAAAGTATCTGATCAGAGACACATTTATAAAGATCCGTGCGAGCATGTATTTTTTACACCAGGGATAGGGTTCTACTAACTCTATGCAAGTCGTTATTTAGGCAATCAAATAATCTAATGTGGTCACAGGTCCCATTAGCTGGCTTCCATGAAGACTGGTTGGTGGCCTAGAAATCACGATGTGGATGAGCGTAATTAGCACATTCGCAACACTTGGATTCATCCACAACCTCGACACAAAAGGAGTCGTCACTGTGTCGTCGTATGTACCACAAGCACCTGCTTTGATTTTGATGCCGGACCTCTCAAGAAACAATACCTACTAACACGTGCAAAACACTCCTCCCGGATGTTTCTTGTTGCAGAAATGTATTGCAGTGGATGCATTTGCATGGACGAACGAGAGTCAGAGTCTATACCACGCAATTTTCAGTCACCAAGAAGTTCCGCGGATCTAGGACAACAAACACGCCAGCCTAGCTCGCTCTGAGCCCTGAACTCAGACACCAACCATTGTGCCAAAAAGTCAAGTCCTACCTGGGTGAGTCAAATCGGGGCTAGGCCAATCTTTCTTCTTTCTCGATGTTTTTCTCAATCAGCAATTGGTCCTCGCTGCTTGTGAATTCTAGATGTATATCTAGAATGTCCAACCTGTACCCGCAACTTTTTGAGGGCATACCGAAACCCAAGCGTTTCTGACCTCTCAGGATGTACAGTGTCTGTCCCACTCAGGAAGCTGAGGGTTTCAGCACAAATCAGGAAATGACATTTGAAAGTTTGCGATAGCTATCGCACTTTTTCTGGCACAGCTTGCGGATTTCTTTCACTCCCATATGTCGGTGGGGTGAGAATTAGCACGGCAAAACCGCTCTGCTCTGTTGAGTGGAGAACGCTCTTCAGAGTAAGAGTATGAATTCCAATGCAGGGTGAGTAGATCGAACCTGAGCCAACCTGGCGTCGACGCCTTGGTCAACTGGCATGAAAAAGTCATCTACCTGTTTGATAGAACTCTAGACTGGAGACATTCTCACTTTCTGACTCATCATTAAAATGAAGACCTACGGTAGATTAATGATACCACACCGTATGTCAAACCCATGGAGAGAATTTGACGTAGCAAATGGGGATGGCAAGACAGCACGAAGCCCTACATGGACCCCAGTGGGTAGAAGGGCGGATGGGGATGCCGATGAGTAGGGGTGGCGGCTAGTGTGGAAATATTTACTCCCGCACCTAACATATCCAACCAAGCAATGTAGCTAGAGTTACTTGTAGAACCATGGAAAAAAAGCTATAGTACTTTAGTTACACTAAAACCTTGAGAAATTGGAATAGTAAGTAGCAAAGCCCAACATTGGGTGCCCATGCCCAAGGGTGACATTATTTTTCCATGGGTGGGCACAATGGCAATGGTAATGCTATGGCAAGTGTTTGTCAAGATCCAACCAAGAATTGGTGTAATTTGAATAGCATGGGTGGGCATAGGTCGCTGCTGATGGTTATGGTCTGGTCTGGGTGCAGATATGAAATAAAATGTTGGCCTCTGGAAAATAGACTCTAATGTATATAGAGCTTCCTGTCTACTAATATAAGTAAAATTCTTACATTACTTATAGTTGTAAACTTGGTTGACTCGAGTCACTCACCTAACTCCAATAAAATAAAAAATTCAACCCTTTCTAGACTGCGTAACCGCCATAAGTGGATCAATTATCTAGTACTCCCCAACGAAATAAACATCTCTTCCTTGTAGGTCGCAATTTTTATTCTGGAGAGACACCACTGTCGATTACTGGAGTCTTGACAAATCATTTGGCGGGAATATAATCAGTCTTCTGAGATTGTGTCAACAGAATCATCTGCCGAGTACATTTACAAACTTTACGATCCACATCATGCCTGCGACTTTTCTCTGGAAGCGTAGAGAATCGAAAACTCCATAAAAAACGTGTAAAGATTTGTTCGGGAATCTGCTGGGACCGATGGCACCGACGGTGTGGTCCGATCTCGAATCATTCGGAACCAGGAAGGACTTTCCCTCAGTTAAGACAGCAGCCGGCCTCTAGGAATCCATACCCCGCTAATTATGCACATCCGTCTCACGCCTCTTCTCCCGAGCAACAAGCCTGCAGCATTGGATATACAGCAGGCAGTAAACCATGGGCACCAAATTCCCAGAGTTTTCCGATAACGTGGACGATGTGGGCGAACAGTATTGACAGCCAGACGGAGAGGAGAGAAGAGGAGAGGTGATCAGCAGTGCAGCCCAGACTTTTCTGCACGGCACGAACTGAGGCTCGGCAAGTGCCGACTCGTCGCCAGCACGATGCTCCACGATGAGTAAGCGTCGGGCTCAAGAGAGCTACAATGCGACCGAGTCTAGCTCGAGAGACGATAAGCTCGAACAAAATGCTGTAAACTGTTATACGAGGTCCTCGCAGCGCATTAGGTGCATGCTCTTCAGGCTCCGACTGAGACCAATAGTCTTATTATTTATCTACAAAATAATGCACGCCCATCACAGAACTGCTGCTCGAATTAGATAATTTTAAGTGAGAGTAGAATTGGGCCACACTGCACCGAATGAATGAAGCAGGATGGGCTCTCATGCTGCCGACGGGGCCAAAAGCTCGGATCTAGCTTGTACATGATGATAGTCTGAGAACTGTAGGGCAGTGTTTTAAACGCAGGTCGTGGTCGCCAATAATAGGAGGCGGGTCAGAAATCAGAAATCTCTGGCCCGGAGAGTCATGCCATGCCATGCCAGGCCAGGAGTTGGGATCCGTCACTTGGATATGCCCGGTTGAAAGTACTCAGCGGTCGCCGAGCTGCCCGTAGCAGACAAGCTCGGAGGGAAGTCATGGAGCTTGTGAAATGTGTGAGACACGCAGATAGCACAGCTGAAAGTGCGTGTGCCGTCCGGGGCCGGACCCACAGAATCGAGCGTGAACTTCGCCTCCAGTGCACTTACGAGCTGCTGTGAGATGCAGCGCATCCGCTGACTCGAGATGCTTCCCGAAGCTCAGCCTCGCCTGACCGGCATTGCCCCGGCCATTTCGGTCGCGCTCTTCCGCTGCGAGAACCGCTCTCGGAAGATCGGGATCGGACACGTTTCTTGTCGTGTCGCTGAATTGAGATGCGGACGGATCGGAGCAAATTACGCCCCGGAACAAATTCGCAACTTATCTAGCATCGATACCGAGCTGGGGACACCTGGTAGAGTCCGAGTGAGCCAAATTCGCAAATGCCGCCGTTTAGTTGCTACGCGAGCGACGGAAGCGACGGACAAGTTGAACGCTCGAATCTTGTGCTTCGCACGAAGGCTTCACATCGCGATAATGCGACACGAGTTGCAGATCGAGTGGTGGCGCATTGCGATATTCGATCCTCGGAGGGGAGGTGGTGTTCATCACGAGTGATGAACTTGGATGTCTTCGGAAGCCACTCTCATCGTTCGTGGCACCGCGACGATCGACGATAGGCCCCCTTCTCGTTCCGACCGACGAGACTGACGACTTGCATTCAGTCATGCGATCTCTTTGGTGGGGCTTCGCTCGGCGATCTGATCGGATTTCAATTCTAGTTTAGGACGGCCGAAAATGTCGAGACGAGACGGCTACTCGGTCAACGGCCGATGACCGGGGGCGTGATGTGAAGATCCATAGTCACTACCTCTCTCTCTCTCTCCCCTTCGTCAACGCACTTTACGTGTGGACCGAATGGTTGAAGTATTTGACCCTCTGCTCCTTCTTCATCACAATGGACTGAAACAGAAAGCTGGGGCAAGCATGCGCAGATGCCTCTGAGTTGTTCAGTTTATGTCTAATGTCCTGAGCAAAAGGCCTTTCTCGGCACTCGATGTGTGTTGGAGTTTTCAGCCCTCCACTTCTTATGACAACCGAATTATGTGTGACAGTGTCGGGTTTCTGTCGGTATCGATGGTCTGGTATGTGCATGGAGGAATAATTCCGTGTAATTAACGAACGAACACTCTCGAGTGGGAGGGAGAATATCATGAACAAAGTCAGAGGATTTCACGGCATAAATACTCCCATTTACAGTCCTTCCTGAGTGCACGATTCATGGCAAGGTCGGCAGACGCAGTCGTCGTGTGTCATGCATGCCATGCCACTCAGAGGGTTCCTCGAACATTCACCGACTGCCGAGTCCGATGGCTGCTCTCGAGTCCAGAAAACGGGACGCCAAGACTACGACGAGGGAAGAAAGGCCTCGCGGTTTCCGGCTCCGGGAAGCTGGCGTCGTTTTAGAACTATCCTGTCCCAAAAGCCAAGCAACAATCTCTGCGCAGCCTCCACATAGTCTGAGCACTTATCTATATCCGGATTGTCAGGCCCCCTCAGACTTGAGAAGATCTCTTCGTGGACCGAGCTCGACCGAGAACAGACTCAGACTCAGATCGTTATTTCCTGACGAGAAACGCGAGCATCCTTATCCTACTACCCATCTCACTCAAGCTGGCACTGAAACAGGTGCCAGTCGGGAAGGAAGTCTCAGGTGTTAAAAACGATCTCAGGTCAGCCAGGATCTTATCCTTGGTTCCCTTGCCTGAGCGGGCAAAGCCGGTTATTACTAAACAACTTCTCTTCAGATCATCGTCCCATCGTCGCAATCGTCCCTTGGCTTCTCCCGTGACACTAGCGGAAGCACACTGTGCTGGGAAAAACGCTGGCACGGCTGATACAGCTCGTCCCGCATCTGTGGACTGACGTGCTGAATATGCGTGATCCGATCGGCACGTCACGCCGGGAGAGAGCAGAAGCAATCATCAATGTCGGAACTATTGGAGATGGGATGGCCCCCGACTCCCGCAAAATAGGAGTCGAACAGAGACAGGGAATGGAATGGTAAGCTGAGCTACTGTGAAGTTGGGATCTGACTCTCATGGCTGGCCGGCTGATGGATGGATTGAAGGATGGCCGCCTGGCTGGCTGGCTCTATGCCCGCACGGAAGAGACAAGTGTATTGGCAGAATCTGGCTCGGCTCAGAACACAGAGCGCAATGGCGCAGGGCAGAAGAATCATCAGGGGCAGGCAGCGCCACTCACTAATCCACTCTCGACTGCAGAGCAGCAGCAGCGACTGGGAGGAGGATCGGCAGCGGGTCGACACACGGAGCAGCATCGTGCGGGGACGGGAGGGAGGGCACAGGCTGCTCCACTTCACCCGAGGCAGACTGTGGATGGTGCCACGAGTTTCGCGGGCTGGAATCTCCCTGGGCCCTGGCAAAGATAAAAGTAATCAGTGCGCGGGGAAGCAAACGCGGCTACAAAACGAGCACTGGGTCGAGCTCAATCTCCAGCCCCGTTCTCTCTCCTGGACGAGAACGGCCCTCTCGACCGCAGTGATGTAGTGACCCTATTCTATTCTCTACCTCGCGCTCTCTCTCCCTCCCTCCCTCCCTCCCGTACCCTCGCATAAGGATTGTAATTGATTGCACAATTGCTTCAAAAAATCACCAACCTCTAAGCTATTTGGGATGGCAGATCGATCGATATTGGTATAAGCCACCGAGGGACTGAGCGCAACCGCTTCCACTTTCCGGGGAGAGAGCGCTAGCTAGCTTGCTAACTAGTTATACTTGAACGTAGCACTGACTGCCTCGTGCACGAATTGACCGACTTACTTGACTAGAAGAGAGATAATCGGCTACCTCGTTGTCGTGCTCGTCCGCCACCAGATCGTCGTACGGACACAAAGCGAGCAAGAATACAGAAAGAAAGAAAAGAAAAAAAGAAGGAAAGAAAACAGAGCTCTGCAAGGATCGATCGATCGATCGATTGATTGATCGAGAGAGCGAGAGAGGGGAGCGGGGCGATGGACTTTCCGTTGTGCCTGGAGCCCAGGGATGCGCCGATCGAAGAGCATGGAGGGGACGCGCTGTACTGGGCGCGGGCGGCGAGGCGAGCCGAGGGCAGCCACTGGGAGGAGGTGAGGAGCATGGTGCAGGAGTGCAGCGAGGCCAAGGAGGTGGCGATCCAGGGCGTGACGCTGTCCATCGGCCAGGTGACGGCCGTGGCTCGCAACGCGGACGTGACGGTGGTGCTCGATGCGGAGAGCGCCAAGGGCCGCGTGGATGAGAGCGCGCGCTGGGTCAATGACAACATGACCAAGGGCACGGACACCTACGGCGTGACCACGGGCTTCGGCGCCACCTCGCACCGGCGCACGAACGAGGGCGTGCTGCTGCAGAAGGAGCTCATCCGGTTTCTGAACGCAGGCGTGCTGACGGACGAGGCGAGCATTCTGCCCGTGGCCACCACGCGAGCGGCGATGCTGGTGCGCACCAACACGCTCATGCAGGGCTACTCGGGAATTCGATGGGAGATTCTGCAAACCATGCAGAAGCTGCTGAACAAGCAGCTCACCCCACGGCTGCCCCTGCGCGGCACCATCACCGCCTCGGGCGATCTGGTGCCGCTCTCGTACATCGCCGGCCTGCTCACGGGCCGGCCCAATTCGCGCTGCGTGGACGCGAGCGGGCAGACGCTCACGGCGCACGAGGCCCTGAAGCAGGTCGGCCTGATCAAGCCCTTTGAGCTCCTGCCCAAGGAGGGCCTGGCTATGGTGAACGGCACGGCCGTCGGCGCGGCGCAGGCTTCAATGGCGTGCTATGACGCCAATGTCTTGGCCTTGTTCGCCGAGGTCTCGTCGGCCTTGTTCTGCGAGGCCATGCAGGGCAAGCCCGAGTTCACCGACCACCTGACGCACAAGCTCAAGCACCACCCGGGCCAGATCGAGGCGGCCGCCATCATGGAGTGGGTGCTCGAGGGCAGCGCCTACATGAAGGCCGCGGCCAAGCTGCACGAGACCGACCCGCTCAAGAAGCCCAAGCAGGATCGCTACGCGCTGCGCACGTCGCCGCAGTGGCTCGGCCCGCAGATCGAAGTGATCCGCGCGGCCACGCACTCGATCGAGCGCGAGATCAATTCCGTCAACGACAACCCGCTGATCGATGTGTCGCGCGACATGGCCGTGCACGGGGGCAACTTCCAGGGCACGCCCATCGGCGTGTCCATGGACAACATGCGCCTGGCGCTGGGCGCAATCGGGAAGCTCATGTTCGCGCAGATGTCGGAGCTGGTGAACGACTTCTACAACAGCGGATTGCCGTCCAATTTGACCGGGGGCCCGAACCCGAGCCTGGACTATGGCTTCAAGGGGGCGGAGATCGCCATGGCCTCCTACTGCTCCGAGCTGCTGTACCTGGCCAATCCCGTCACCACGCACGTGCAGAGCGCGGAGCAGCACAACCAGGACGTGAATTCGCTGGGGCTCATTTCGGCGCGCAAGACGGCCGAGGCCGTCGAGATCTTGAAGCTCATGGCGTCGACGTTTCTGGTGGCCCTCTGCCAGGCGGTGGATTTGAGGCACCTGGAGGAGAACATGCAGGCAGCCGTGGCCAATGCTGTGGCGATGGCGGCCAAGAAGACGCTGGCGGTCGAGGCCGCTGCTCCGCTGCTCAAGGTCGTGGCCGACACGCCTCCCTTCACGTACGTCGACGACGCCACCAGCGCCGCGTACCCTCTGATGCAGAAGCTGAGGGAAGTGCTCGTCGCTCGCGCCTTGCAGAGCGGCCAGGACGACGAGGGATGCACGGCGTTCCGCAGCATTAGCGCCTTCGAGGCCGAGGTGAAACTACAGCTCGAGACGGACGTGCCCGCATTGAGGCAACAATTCGACGACGGAGTTTCCTCGGTCCCGAACAAGATCACGGACTGCCGGAGCTTCCCGCTGTACAATTTCGTTCGATCGCTCGGCACGAAGCTCTTGGTGGGCACGGACACGAGGTCTCCTGGTGAGGACATTCAGCTCGTTTACGAGGCCATGACCGAGGGTCGACTGGCAGCGCCGCTTCTGCGGTGCCTGGACGGATGGTCCGGAACTCCCAATCCGATAACTCCATTGATTCATTGATCGATTCTTCATCTTCGACACCAAAAAATGTTCATTCATTCTTCGAATTCTTTTGATTGTTGCCGGCGCCAATGAAGCTGGACGACAGATGATTATGTACAATTTACAGAAACTAGTTCGCCCAGATCAAGACCAATCACCTAAAGGTCCATTGAGTCTTGCCAGTCTACAACAGGAAGGAATAACCCATTCAGTTATAGTGGTGCCATCTGTGTTTGAACCGACAGACCCAGATGTCTGCTAGAGTCTCCAGACCTACCACCAGATGACATCAGGATTTACGCAGTCAACAACAGACCATAAGACGAGTCTGATACTGAAACGAACCAAAATTGTAATCTGACCTTACAGCATGAGGTGATTCTGATTTGAATATTGGAAGCAACTTGAAGCTTAGCAGCTTTGAAGTCAAAACCAGCGGCCGGATAGAGACTCCTTTGCACTTTGAATCTCGACAATGACCTCTCCTCAGGGCGTAGCCATCCCACTTTTCTTTTCCCGATCTTTTCTCATATCCCGATCACGTGCTGCCGAGGCCTTTCAAGAGCGACGACGAGGTAGGCATCTCGTTCGGTGAGCTCTAGATCGTGACGCTGTAACTTATCAGAAGCTGAGAAGCAGCTAGAACTCAGTCTGCCCTTAATTGCTTGCGCTTGGGAATCCTCCGAACAAGCATCACAGGTCGAACGTGGATCATGATTGTGTATCCTGATCCATTCGATTCAATTGCTAGTTCAAATCACCGTTAACATCCCTCGGGAGCTTGACCTCAGTCTTAACTTGGTGCAGACCTACGGACCTCAATTGCTCTGCGTATTAAAAGAATCACGAAGGTTTCATTTCCATCATGAGTTGACGGTTAAAAGTAAGGCCATTCGTGGTGTGGATATAAAGAATTCAGATCCGGTGCAAGCTCGAGCCCAACGGAGAGAGGATGTAAAGTTTGTCTGCCTTGCAAATAGCTATATCACTGGAGATATTCACGTGCAGCCTTATTTCCGCCTTTTTAAGCATGAGAGGGTGTCGTGTGGCGGCAATGGAAGACCGAATGTCTCCTTGCACACATTTGACAGAAATGGCAAGATAGTCATGGATTGCGCAGTCGAAGAATCCGGAACTAACAACTTTGGTTTCACTAAGACGAAAGCCGAAGTGATAGTTTTCTTTACATTAGATTCTAAACCACTGTCCCCGCACATTTCAGAGGATCTTTGAAAGGAGTTTGTAATTTACTTTCATCCCGAAGAGAACCAAATAAGACAGAGACACCAAAGAAGCTCTGTGCAGATTAGGCAATGCTTAGAGGGATGGTAAAAGAGTCGGCTGATCCGAAGGAGGAGACACTGCTGCTCCTATTCTAGAGAAATAAGTCTTGTTTGAGAGAAGAGACTCTGCAGCTGCAGAGTAGATGGCGCGACGAGTGTTGCTTGAGAAATGGAAGCTGTCCCAGGTAGAAATGCACGTTTGCAAGAGCTCAACGCCGACGAGGGGCCAGTCTGATCCGAATAGTACATGGCCAGGCTGGACGAAGTCAGTCAGAGCCTTAATAGAAACCGATCCAGCGAGTCCAGCAGTGTCAAAGTAAAAGAAGGAGCTGACCATTTCGGTCAGCTTCTCGGGACTCATCCCCAAATATGGTCCAATTTTGTAAGCAAACCGATCGGAAGAATATGGCCAGAACCCTCCTCCGTGAGCTGTGATCCACTTGATATTTGGAAACCGTTGGGGAACTCTAGTAATCATCATGAAATTCAGAGCATGAACTGTATCCAAGAGGAAGTCTGCCATCTCGTTGTACATGTCCAGTGCTTCGAAGGAAGGGGACGAATCTGTTGAATTTAGCGGAAATTTCAGCAGAGCCCTCGCTCAAACGTCAGACAGAGGATCACGAGTCACTCTCACGAAACAGCTAACACAATTTGGCGCCACATTCTTTTAAGAAATACTCAAAAAATCCATCCCGCTCTCTCGGCTTGCTCATGTGATCACCGACAAACCCACTCGGCGAAACAGAAAACTGTGTAATCCCAAGTTCAGAGAAGGCAATCAACTATCTGCTCTAATGCTTACCGTTTAGATAACTGATTCCCTGATGGACAGTCTGAATTTCTCCGATGTCGTTGCAATGTCAGAATCTCACGCAAAAGGGCAGGACAGGACATTCAAGCAATAAAGCAAGATCATCGAAAAAAGTCACCATCTCGTTCATTAAGGCTACCCTTCCCCTTCCAGCTCACTGATTCTGCATGTTCACTTACCGACTGGCAGGATAACACGAAACGGGATCACCGAATTCGTCCGGCTCGTTCTACCAAGAAATCAATGGCCGTGGTAATGATGAATGCATCTAATAGTTCTGATATGCCATCACACGAGCGTAGACCCAACTCTTTCAACTGGTGTGGGAGGAACTCCCGCTTTCATCAAGCTCAAGCAACAAGTATCACGTTGTAAGCAGAAGGGGAACCAGTTCGTCTCGTCGTCGTGCGGGGAATGATGGTATCGAGTGCGGTGCAGAATGACAGAGGGGCCTAACGTCCAGGCGTACCTGTGGAACCCGGTAGAAGATCGGGATGAATCAGCACAACTGAGCCACGCTCGTTGAGGAGTTCGTAGAGCGGTTCGTTGGAGTCTTGAACCAGGATCTGATTGGCTCCGATGATGAACCCGTCAGCACGGAGCACGTCCAGAGCATACAATGCCTCGTCCACGGCACCTTGAACATCAGGCAACGTCAGCGAGGCAAAGAGTCCGAAGCGTCCAGCGTGGCTCGCGACGACCTGCGCGCCGTACCGGTTCACGGCGCGCGCCATGTCGCGGATGGTCTGACGGTCGACGTTCGGCAGCACCACTCCGGGCGTCGGGAGAGACAGCACGCTCTTGGAGATGCCCAGCCGGTCCATCATTCTCAGACTGGACTCTGCGTCGTAGCGCGTGCAATTGAATCCGCCATGGCCGGATCGATGCGCCGCCAGATACTCCCAGTAGAAGGGAGGACAGAAGTGATGGTGCACATCGATGCGCGTTCCCGCACCTCCTGCGCCTGCTGCTCCCCGACTGAAGTCCGTGACTCGTAACACCGAGATCACGATGAGCGTCGCACAGATGGGGACGGTCCGCAGCCGCCACCACTCCCACGAGCTCGTCGACATCGTCGAGAGTCTCGTTCGTATTGTTGAGTAGAGGTCTCCTGACAGATCGGATCGGTCAGCGAGTTTCCGCATCGTTCATCGAGCAACAAACAATCACATAGCTCACATAAGACCTTCGAGAGATGCCTCGTCGAACATCTCGGCTTGACGCATAGCGTCTTATTTTCTCCTCGTCCCGACCGAGCGCAAGGACTAATCCGGCATCAAGTCTGTCAGCCTATATAACGAGTATCTCTTCAAAGCCTCCTTGAGCTCCCTTCCACCCTCCATTCTTGGAGTCAACGACGGCGATCTCTCAGCATTCTGTGGCACATTTGTCGATTCCGAGCACTGGTGCGAAATTTGACAACTGCGGATGGATGATGAAGACTGCTATTAGACTTCTGGTATCATCAAGAACGCTTGTGTGGCCCGCCAGACAGATAGACCGATAGATGAATCGGGACTCCAGTTTCCGAGGGAGCGAGCGAGCTGTGCATGCTCTGCTCTTCTGGCCTGGATGCGGCCATTGGAAGACGATGATTGTATTTTTATTTCGAGCCCCACCGACAGCCTGTTCTGCAACCGAAAGTCCCTTCTGTATGCAAATGCATACCGAATAGAGCTGAGGACATCGACAGAAAATGTCGACTCTCTTGTGAACTGGACCTCGTCACCGGCAAACTAGCGCGGTCGTAAAAGATACTGACAATTGAATCACTTAGGAAACTGTTGACACAATTGTCGGATGAGCATGAGGCATGGAAGGCTACAGTCTAGTCTGCAATGCAGGAAAGGGTCTAGGGAGGAAGGATTTCGAGCTCGGAGAGCGGATGTTTTCCAAGGGGCGGTGCAAGGATGCATTTGATGATTCGTTGATAGGACATTGCGCTTTTCTGAGTCCAAAAAATTGAGTTCCGAGAATGACATGCTGGAAGAGGACCTCCGATCAGAAAAGGAACAAGTCCAGAACAAGGTCTTTACTGTCGCCTCAATTGGGTGGAAAGACTGAGGAATGTACCATCTTTGCAATTACTCAATCGACAACTTTCCATGAACAGCTGTGAAGTGTCGAACTATTGCAGGAGATTCTCATGGTCTTAGGGCCTAGCCCTCTCACTACAAATGTTATTGTCAACAAGTGAGAATATGTAGTGAGCCCTCATAGCGTTTACACAACTAGTTAGATTTAGGAATCTGTATACATATTTTCGATCATTTATGATCAGGACTCTGCACATTAGTCATTCTAAAAATATATGCCTAATGTACTTAATTTTAAATCCTTTGAGTGCGTAATCTCAAAATTATTTCTCGAGTAGTTTCAAAAAGAAAAATTTTCAAATGATTGAAACAACAAAATGGTCCAAGTGACTTGTAGATTTAATCGGCGAACTGGATTAACCGTTTCCAAATACAGCGCTTCGAGAGTGACTTCTCAATGTTGAAATTCAAGAAAAATATTTTTAACATGTCACTGATTGATTTTTTCTCCATAATGATTTTTCCAATGTAAAGAGCATGATCTGTTGCGCACAATGAAACAAGGAGATTATGTTTTCTGAGAAAATTACTGCTTCAAATACATGCAAGAATTATTCGCGTGGTTCTACATAACTTCTCTAATCTGCTGTGGTTAAGTTATTTCATAAAGATCGAGAAAGAGAGAATCATAGAGATAATGATGATTGTACATGGGCAAGATACCAATCAGAAGAGTACATGGAGTGGATTTAGCTGAGGTCCCGAACTTGGGATTTAGGCAAATTGGAAATATATCCACTCGCGCCTAATGCTATTAAGAACAGAGAGAAATTTACTTAGATTTGAAATTTCTTATGTCAAAATATTTTTATAAGAAGTTCTGATTGAAATTGACAAAATAAATTTTGCATAGAATTCATTTTTTGAAAGATCTTTCTAAAATTGAATCATTAATCTGTAAAATTGAATTGAAATCGATAGAATATACATCTTTGGTTCTTTTTAAATAATGATGACTAATAGTGACTACTTTAATTTAGGATTTGTGCCTAAACTACATAGGTCTGTTTATGATTGATCCATGAAAAATGAATCCAATAAACAATGGAAGTAGTTGATGGGGAACATCATTGGCACAAGTTGCATGTGTGGAGCTTCAGAGTTTAACCTCCCAATAGTGACATACACTAGTGCTAGGGTTGGATGTCACTATCAGGAGGTCTCATCCACAAAAGTAAAATCGCGTACATTGGTGCTAGGGTTGGATGTCACTATCCGGAGATATCATTCACAAAAGTAAATTGTGTACATTTGTGCTAGGGTTGGACGACACTATCCAGAGGTATCATTCACACAAGTAAACTGCGGACATTGGTGCTAGGGTTCATCGTCACTATCCGGAGGTATCATTCACAAAAGTAAATTGCTTACATTTGTGCTAGGGTTGTACGTCACTATACGGAGGTACCATTCACAGAAGTAAATTGCGTACATTTGTGCTAGGGTTGGACATCACTATCCGGAGGTATCATTCACAAAAGTAAATTGCGTACATGTGTGGTAGGGTTGGACGTCACTATCCGGAGGTATCATTCACAAAAGTAAATTGCATAGCATTTTAATCCCACATTACATTTTTCCTAGAACATTCTATAAGTTTGTCCAAGAACATTCTATAAGTTTGTTGCTCGGTTGCAAGATTGACTTCATTCGCTATTCTTTATTGTTCACGACGATGAACAATAAAGTATAGCGAATGAAGTCAATCTTGCAACCAAGCACATTACAACTTCTTCCCGGTTTTGCATTGTGATCATGACATGAATTCTACCTCCTAAATTATACTTGGAACTTTCATTCTTGGATAGTATCATGTCACTATTGCTATTCAGTGACCTACTGTTCTTATTGAGCAGATTTCCTATTTACAATCTAACGTTTCTTGAATTTGATGTCTTTAATGGGAGGATGTAACTAGTAAGAGGTGACATTATTAGAAGGTTAAACTTTGTACACTAATATTGAACTGTTCAGTTTGCGTGGTCTCTGGGAATTAACAAACAACTTGTGGGTGGATTTCCAAAAGATACAAATCCACAAGAGCCACACATATTGACTATTTACCAAACATTTGTCATTTTTGTCCAATATCATGATCATTCATGTAATGTATTATACCTGTAATCTACAAAGTGTGTAGATATGCAATTGCTAAGTGTTTCCAAGTGATATTACTCATGTTCAAAATTCGTAATTTGAGTATTTATTGCAATAATATTTATATATGGTCTCTTTCGATTTATAAAGAAACTACAATTTGCTTAAAATAAAATTTTCACAAATATTTGAGATATTGTAAAATTATTATACTATCAATATTTAAGTCATGTGCAGATTAAAAAAATTTCTTAATAGACGCATCATCTATCTAGAAAAAGTTGATTTGTTCTTTATTGCATTGAGAATGAGATAGTCAAACCATCCAGTCATCTTGCTATGGAGAACTCATCAACAAATATATATATATATATATATATATTCAAATCATGGCTAAGCTATTTACCTCCCTATTTCAAAGTTGGATATTGAACAAAATGTTTATATTGTCACAGTAATATGTGGCGCTTCTTTCGTAAAGGCAAAGAAGTCTCCTTCGGATTCTGCACGGAGCGTATAAGAAAAGATGTAGGTTATTTCAGGTAAAAAATCGGTACTACCGAGAATGGTCTATGTTCAGGGCTTTGACCTCGAGTACGACGTTGATAACTACACCTGAAATGACAGCTGCTAAAGCCATGAACACGGATACTCCGAGAGCTTGGATCACCGTAATCCAATAAGTGTCCGCGGGCAGAGCATTTGTCGAAAAGGTCATTCTTTTCCTCTGTCCGGTGAGCAATTGAGGTCTCCTCGCCGCCGCTGGTGTCCCAAAGGCGCCAGAAGATGGAGAAAATCCGGCCATTTTCAAATCACAGTCCGAAATCTACGGCCAAAGTGAGAGAAAGTCGTTTGTTTCCAAGTCGTCCTTGAATTCGGCAATTCAACAATCCATCAAAATCATCCAGAGTCCAAAAACATGAACCTAGAAACAAGCTACGAGTTCAAGACTCAAGACTTGGATGCAACATTCCTCGTCCACTCGAGCTCGGGCTCGCAAGGAAAAGAAAATCGAAGCGGACGGGAAATTGGCCGACTTCAAGGACGAAATTGGAAAAAAACAATTTTCACCACATTGCAAGCGACGCTGGGTCGCCGGCGCTGCACGAGAGCGCACCCGAAGGCTCTCAGCTGCTGAGACGCCGTCGAGTCCATCGTCGTGATAGTCGAGATGTCGTCGAGTCCATCGTCGCGATAGTCGAGATGCCGTCGAGTCCATCGTTGCCATTGTCGCGACTGCACGAGAGCTCGTCCCGCAACAACAACAATCTCAGCAGCAACAAGAGCGACGGATCCAATTCAATCCGCGGCCTGCAAGAAGTGCGCGCGCCGACAGCAGCCTGATGTTACGCGCAAGAACCGGTGCTGGAGGGAAGCACACGCTCCTCCACCGACGCTCCAACGCTACTGCGACGCCAAGAGCGTTATGATCCATACCAGTTGAAATTTGAATTCAAATTTGAATTGGAGGATGGTGAGTCACCTATTTTATTATCGTGTGAATATGTAGATTCTGGTGTTTCCTGTAACGTACTTCCTGTCTTAAGATTTAGACATGCCTACTCTCCCTTTCTCTCTCCAATGTGATCATATTTGACATAGGATATTACTTTACAATGTTCAACATCCCCATCTCCGGATCTAAATTGTGTTACATTGCGGAGTAGACTAGAAGCACCTGACTTGAGTAGTTATTTAAAGATCTGTAATATTGAGTGCATGTCTTGGGCACTATTTTTTAGGGAATGTTTACATTCTCCCCTCCGCGCGCCTTGAATTCAACCCTTTAGCAGTCCAAGCTGCTCTCATTGATAAAATTCCTTCGCACAGCATGCCTTCTGGCAATACAGGTTGCATAGAGATACTTCTGTAGTCACATGCCCCGGTCCGTACTCCTCGTATTAGCAAGAATAATTTGTTTGATTCTCTTGGGCAAGTTATAGAGAATAAAAGTCCTTAAATTTCTATCCTCCATTTCTTCTCCGGATTGTGACTTGCTTCGATCTTCAGTTTGAGATCTTCAGTTTGAGACTTCGTTCTCTTTCCCAACCCTATTTGTGTTCAATTCTTTTTGGTTTATGCGTTTAATTTCCAAGATAATTTCATCCACCTCAGGTACCCGGCGTCTTGTCCTTCGATTCTCATCGACTGTAATAAGCAATGACAGAGTCTTTGATTTGTAAGAAGTTGTAAATGTCTAGTAAAGACCTTTGGTGTGTGCATGTGTGCAGACAAGAGTAGATGCTTTTCTTGGACATTCATCCAACTATTCTGGTACATTCAAATTAAATCAGATCCGCTTCGTAAGGATAAGATTCTGCGCGGAGACCATACCTTTGCGTTACAGGGTTACACTCTAAAGACCTACAAGAAGACTACTCCTTCCATCGCTCACGTCCAAAATCTTCTTCAGTTACACATATATGGAACTTGAATCGCATGGGAAAGAAATTTGAGAAAAAGATGTGAGTTCAAGACGATTAGAAGTATTAGCGACAGAAATAACCACCCTTGTAACCTGAAGATCGAAACTGTTTTAATTCAGGTACGAACGTCAGTACAAAAAATAAGAGCAATTGAACTCTCCAGGTTTTGACCTCTGGAACTCCTACACTACTTGACGTATTCCCGTAGATTGTCAAAACAACGACACATTGCTGATCTAGAACCACCACCTACCTGGTGGGTATCTGCTCTACGTAACTATGTAGTATATCGTCTAGAAGATCAAGTTGCAAACAATCGCATGGTGTGGTGGAACGTTCGAGTGACGCCTCATGAGAAAGACAAAAAAAAAATTTCCCTTGTATTAGAGATACTAGGTATAATCTGTATCCATTTTCCTCACGGATGACACTGCGTCTCAATGCGTAGTCTTGTCACACTGGACCACACAGAAGACCTCCCTCCTGCTAAACTCATGTCGAACAGCAAGATGAGCTGCTACATGTCCAACTGGAAACTTGATGGCCTTCTTATCAATTCACCATATACACCTGAATGAAACACTAGAAAGCTCGACTATCTGCAACCTTCACTGTATGCTACATGACCAATTGTTTCATGATCCATCAGACCCTGCGGTAGCTTGCAAGTTTGGCAGGTGGCTAAAAATTGGGAACCAGAATTTCCTACCGTACTGGTGAGACCGATCGCATGAGTTTCCCAAAAGTCAGGTGGAGCTAACGGACCAAGTTGGGTTGGTTACAATAATTATGACTACCATCCTCCAGCAACCAATCCTTCTCACAATCAACGGTCTATGATTGGATGGCATGTGCTTGACAGTCTTGCAACTTCACTGAATGTGACCAATACTAAACAAGAATGAATGCTGCACACCATTAAAAATCCTCAGTCAGCCAGTGACTCGGCCTTCTTGTCTGAGGCTTCCCCCTTCTACTCTTATGTCAATCGTATCCAGTAACTAAAACTACGTTGGGTCGGCCAAAGAGGAAATGGTGAAAAGAATCAGGAGTACTATCCAATCACCTCAAATGTAAGTTGGGCCTGTGGACGGGACTCAGTCGCCTTCAAATTTTGAGCAAGCTGAAAATGATCACTTATGCACTCCCTATGATCTCGTGAATCTGTGCACAGACTTCTGGGTCGTCGGATCTGACCGTGAGCTTCATTGCCACTTGCTTTTGTGCATCTATACCAAACTGCAGTCTCACCAGCACTTGGGCTCCACCAATGAACTGACCAGCAAGTAAGCAAGTGTGTGATCTGGCGTTACTTGAGACAGACTCGGTACCCTGCGCAACAGGCAATCTTCAATTAGCACCTGCTTTAACAAGATATTGGCTCGTGACAATTTACATTTAATAATCATCTGTGATTAATTATATAAATTGTAATAAGTGTTATTAATACAAAACTTACAATTATCGCGTTCATCTGCGATCTGAAGTTAAGACAAAACATCTTTCAGATGATCTTTCTTTTGTTTTAAAAAAAATTGAGATATATTTCATGATTAGTATTTTCCTGTCATAGCTTCAAGACCAAAGATCCCACGTTTCATAAGAAGTACAAAAAACTGGGAATGAATCGACGAAAACGAATGTCGAGGACATTTTCACCCGTTAGAAACTCTCAACTCACCTCGCAAGGTTGCATTCCAAGAATGGTGATTACTGCTTGCACTGCTTCCTGCAAACTCTCTCTGACTCCGATTCCGTACTCATCTACCATCTCATTTTCGGCATTTATGGCATCCCATGCACCTCTGAAGTTCGTTACTACAGTTTTCAGAACATAGTCTGCTGCTGTCACCTGTTCAGATGAAAGCCACACAAAGACAAGAAAGAAACACAAGTGAGATGCTAATATCATCCTCCACATCAGATGCCGGGAAGAGAGCATATAGTGAAAGCAATTGCAAGGTAGCCAAAATATGTCAAATGGTAACAGCGTTCTTTGCATATTTGGTAGAACAGAGTGTCCCCAATTGAAGTGCAAGGTAACAATGATGACGGGCACAAGAAAATATTAAGCACAAATCTGGATGAAACGTAAATCTTCCGTGAACTCTAAATCAGGGTGTCCTGCTTGAAGCTTGTGGTCACCTCGTCAACTTACAAACTTGACATTGACAGATGGGTCGCTAATTGGTGGCCTTTTCTCTGGCCAAATGTCATTCTGCAATAACCAACTTCGCATAAGTTTTACAGCTTTACATTACCTCAAGTTCTTCCAGCTGGTACTCGTCCTCATAACCTTCATCGTCACAATCCCCTGTGTTTGGATCGACCTGCAAACCTCAAGATGTATGTTTAATGTCTTGGACGATTTAAGACCCTCATTGTAACGATATACACAGCTTACAAGTTGTACTGGATGTATACATGATACTTACATCATATGTACGTACTATTGAGCTTACATGAAAGCCGACAACAAAGTCTTGGAGAAGACTCGGCGCAAAATTACCTCTTTCACACGGAATTTCAGGATATTGGAGAACTTCCCGACACACAAACGACCTTCTGTCTTTTGGAAAGCAACAAACGCTTGTCCAGGTGCTCCATAAGGCATGGAAGACAGCTTTCTCGAGGCAACCTGGATAAAATCTTCCGCCTCGGACGTGTCCACGACTACACTTACCTGCTCATTCATCATTTCATACACGGAGAAATTATAACCTGAATATCATACATCAAACAATGTATAGTGATACAGGTATGTACTTGCTGCAACTTCATCAAACTAGAATAGAACCTTGAATGATCCTCTCCATCAAGAAATAAGATATCTGAAGGACTTCTAATCACAAGTGAAATTTCGTGATCAATACCGGAACAAAACGTTATGTGAACGCATTTGAATACACATAATTATCGCTATAAGATACAATCAAGACATCCATAAGATTGCAAAGAGGGAAGAAGAATGAGAGTGAGAGACAATACATCGTCGAGGAGCTGCTCTTTTATAGTGTTCGTACAGTTGAACTGCAACACCACGTACTGCGGGTAGATGTGCTTCACAGCATTCACAGAATACTCGGTTTCCGCCTCGGTAAGCTCAACAAGTGGTGATGACTGCAAACCACCATACGACAGAACATTATACCAGGAGTTACTGGATTTTACAGATACCACTTTTGACTTTCCTCCAGAAACGACCCACGCTTTGTTTCAATAGCTTGCCGACTGAACACAACAGAATTTAATTGGTACAAAAGGAGGGAAACTTTCAAGAAATTCACCTTGAAAAGTTTACCGAAACCAGAAAATTCTGGAAACGAGTTCAGCAACTTCTCGTATGCATCAGACGCACTAGATGTAAGGTGACCATTTGCAAATGCTTTTTGGCCCGCTTCTTTAGCAGCCTTCTTGCTCGCAGGAGTTTTCTTCTCAAGCATTGGCTGATGCTTCATCTCCCTCGGTACAGCTGACATATCGAATCTTCTCTCACTTGCATCCTATCCAAAAGCACAGTTGAAGAGAGATCAGAGCTCGTTTTCCCAGTCGCAAACAAACTTCCTTCTGTTTCTCGCTCTATGTAACTAAAGACAGGTAAGCACTTCCAAGAGCGTGGCTTACATAAGACAGCAGACTCGATTCCAAGTTGACAAGTGGAACGTCAAGGCTGGTAAACAGGAACGTCTTGCTGTGAGCTTCATTTCCTCCTCCATTTAGGTAGTTGAGATAAAGAGTGGCACGATCTCGCACCTTTACACAAAGAAACGTAAATCAACCTCCAGTTAGCAGAGATGCTTCCAAGGTACAATTGAATAACACTTCCGATCGATTTCGAGCTCTCTGAAATGGGGAATTTCAGCAACTATGATAGCTACAGGTCATGCTGACAAAAATAAATCCCTCCAACTAAAACATCCCCGGAAACCTCTCCTACTCGTAATCAAAACCTGTACAGAAATATGTTTTAAGCGGAAAACATTCTAATGAAACATAATCCCCGAACAAAAAAGAATTGATGTCACCTCATCGTCGTTGTCATACAGGCATCTTCGGATCAGCACGAGAATGCGAGGCTGCAGAGATACCACAATTAGAGTTAAACACTTAATCAAACATTCTTCTCACCTGCTTTGAGAATACGAGTCTAGTCTTATAAACGATACCTCTAACGGCATCAAGGTTCCAAACAACATTTACTAGATAGGCGAGAAACTTACCTGCAGTGACTCCACAGCAGCTCCAAACTTTGCCAAAGCACTTACAGCACTTGCACGCACAGTTGCATTTTCAAGTACAACACGATTGTAAATGTAGCGAATGTACTTGCTAGGATCCGCCGTCCTTGGACCCTCATTCCCAAGAAGATGCAAGATCTGGAGAGACAAAGTTTTTCAATTGCACAAATAGTTTTGTACATCTTCTATGGTTTAATATTTATTATTCTGAGAAATCAAAGACTTGAGACTCACAAGATTCACTAAGAATACATACACCTAAAAAGAAGAACCTCAAAACCCACATGCAAAAGAAAGTTCAACTCACCTGCGTTGAAAGATACGTGAATTCACAGTCCTCGATGAATTCACACAGGTGAGACAGACCACTTTCTTTCGCCTCCGGAATCTCCCGGATGAGGATGAGTATTGATTCAACAATCGCCTTTTTGTACTCGAAACCACCTTCTTCCCTCAGTATATTGCTCAGAAAGTTCATCCTGAACATATATCGAGAACGGAATATCAGTCGTAAGCAGCGTTTGTAACATTGTACTGCCTGTAAAAATCTCCAAATGACTGTACTACGACATGTGGGAAATGTATAAATAGAAGACTTACAATATTCGGTACTTTTGTGGAAACTTAAGACAAAGGGACCGGATCGCTTCCACAACGACAATCTTGAACTCGTCGGCGATGTCCAGCATGAAGTTTGTAATCTGCTTCATCAGGCGATCTACACTTGATTCGTTGCCAGTTTTCAGAAGTGTCGTGATGGCTAACGTCGCAATACTGCGATTCTGGTCAGAAATGAGGCTCTCCATATCTATGTTACAGTTCATAACAGCCGGAGGGTGCGTCATTGCCACCTGCAAAAACAAAAACCTCTGGTTGATTTGACCATCCTGTTCACTTCGAGATTGAAATAAACACAACTGTTTCAGTGTGGATGGTAGTTAAATGCTAAAAACCGAAGTAAAACCACGGAACTCTCCCTGCTTTGTAGTAAGAAAAAGTCAGCTGCCTCTGTGAAACCTGCCCGGCTCATTTGGAAACCGATGTTCTAAGGCAGCCGTGTGTGTCGTCAGAACTCCCACAATAAACGGCTGTACCTGGGGTCATACCTTATTCAAAGTACGAACGGCGGCAAAACGCATCACTGGCTTAGATGAGCTTAAAAACAGCTGCAGGACTGTGATCGCAGGAGTAAGTTCACGGCTTGTGACCCCGCTCAGTTCCGTAATTGCTCTTGCTGCCTCAAAGATAACCATCTCTGCTTTATGACGTAGACATCCCTCAAGGTAATCATAAAAGGGTCGGTCACCAGACTGTGGATTGGCGGAAGACTCCTCAATAACCTGCTCACCACAACTTTCGCGTGTTAATAACCATACATTAAGTTTTACATATGGCCAAGAAGGTTTATCAACGTAATTCTACATACCTGGCTTGTGTATCGAATGAGAAGGCATTGGGCCAATGGAGAACGAACAGTTCCCCTGGTGAGGCTAGTAACCAATTTGCTGACTGCCAAGCGATCATTTTGCCTTATCTGCAGATATACAGAAGAGTCCGTCGATTTAAAACCTTAACTGGTTTGAAGAAAAAAGCCTACGCACATCGCGCAACAAGCTGAGAGGAGAGGTATGCCATGCAATCAAGGGTGTAAGAACTTCGTACCTGATGTAGCAAGGCAAGGGCGTGAAATTGTACGAGGGAGGCTTTCGACTGCACAGCTTCCTGCACCTCGTTACTCCATCGCTTCACTATGTCTGGATTGCTCTGCACAATTATTGATGCATAGTCGATTAGTAAGTGAAGGGTTGAACTTTAGGGGCAGACTTCGCACACTTCAAATGTTCAGTACCTGAAGTAAGTGGAAACCGCTGACAAGAGCAGCGCTTGAAACGACAGGATTTTTGTCCACGACTGCTTGCTTGAGATACCGCTCGATTTGCCCCAAGAGGCCCCCATCGGTGATTCTACAAAGGACTCGGATGGCGTTCGCTCGATACAGGTCTGTCTTGCTATTCATATCTTTCATCAGGGAACTTGTAACAATAATAACCTGCGACGTGGCAAAAAGAGATTCGTCAATTTCATGAGATCGCGCCGAGTGAGAACTCCAGTGACTGATAGCAAAAGCCTGAGGTTGGACCACTTCAAAACATTACTTCGTCAGCTGAAGGTGATATTTCCTTGATGATCAGGTAGACCATTCGCCGAAGACCAATATCTTTGGATTGGAAAAGCTTGGTGACGGCAAAAAAAACTTCCGTGGCCTCCGTCTGCATTCGCACAGATGAAAATGTAAGTTAGATGAAAACTCATCACACAAAAACCTAGATCTTAGATGAAATCAAGTAACTCAGCAAACCCTTCAATCGAATGTACGCTCACCTTGGTGAAGGTCTCGCCTTGATTGAGGAGGTAAAGAAGTTTGGTGATGACCTGGACCCCATTCGCGCATTGACATTAGATCACAATACTTGCGACAAATGAGTTCTTCTATGTTTTGAAAAGAACTTCGAGGTGCGAAAGACAGCGACCTTTGAAGTTCGTCGAAGGATGACTAACCTGAGCACACCTCCTGGCATCGAGTTGAGGATCATTAAAAACGCGCGCTTCTTGAAGAACAGCCCCCTTCTCGATACCATAAAAGGGAGAGTACTCGGCTGCACAGACAGCCATCCGTGGCGCACCAACAGTTCAAAACCCGGGATCCGAAGCGAATGGGGGTAATTTAGACTTCCACAAATATTCCAATTGACTTCCTCAGTGCCCTGATTCTTGATCTTGCTATTTACTCATGTCCACCTAACGCTTCACTACCCAATTCAGGTGATCGATACATTCCTCCCTGCTTCGTTCAACCATTCGTTCGGCAAATGCAATATTCCACCAAATCCTTCGCTAACACTAACTCGCAGTTCGACCTTCCAGAAGCAGCCGACTCGGAGTCCCTCTCGGAGGAACACACAACATCCGCATCACATGCTCTCTTTCTCATCTGGGTTTCTAGTTCTAAATTTGGATGAAATGCGCAGCAATGACTCTCAGAAAAACCCACTACACATCAGATCACCAACATTCCAACGCAACAAACACAGGAAATCAACTCAAATCTCATCCCCCACGCCTAATCCTGCCGGAAAACATCATCGGCCTCCCAATAAAGCAAGGCAGCAGCAGCAGCAGCAGCAGCACAAAAGCCATAACAAACGAAAGCAGGGGAGGTCAAGTACAATCATCCTCTCGATCATCGTCCTTCTTGCCGACGGGCTGGAGTTGAGCCATCGCAGCAAACTCAGATTGCCTGCCTGCAGAGAGGTGGGGGGAGGACGCTGCTACGGCAAAGCGCGACGAGAGTGGGGCATGTGCGTGCTCTCGAGGAAGCCGAGCAGAGCAGCACACTGAGCACTCAGGACACAGAAGAGAGAAGCGCGAGGGGACTGCTGCTCGATCGACCAAGCCTTGCTTTCTTCACCCGGCTGACCGTCAGATTACCACCGCAACCCCGGACATTTCTTATGTCCTCCGGTCACAGTGCCTCCGTGACCTTTCCGTCGTGGCAGTGCACGATAATCTGCGCACATTGCACTCTCACTCTACAGTGCCCATGCGCCCGCAACCTGTTTCCCTACCTTCACTTTTAATAACTCTTTTTCTTGAGCCTCCTTCCCTCTTCCGCCTTCCTTCGGAGCCCCGGACGAAAATTATTCTCGCCTGTGACTTATTGCCCAGGAGCGTATTTCGAACCTAAAGTAGCTTTTCGTCGTCCGTACGTGATGAGAGAAATGAGATTCTCTTGAAGTCATAGTACATGGAGGACGATATGTGACACTGCGAGGTCCTTTTAACGAGATAATTATAAGACAATGCGTACTGTCTACCGTTCGGCTAAAGCTTAGGATTCCATGACGCTATTTTGTTCAGCACAGGGTTTTGTGGAAAAATCTAAGAGAATATGGACTTTCCACTTTCCCAACTTTTGTCACCGTTGGCTATTCTTAAGGTCATTTCCGTTTTGATTGATTGTGAATGCTATATTGATTTGATAAATTTTATTTTCCTTCGGTTCATCGTGTACATATATAAAATTATCATTTATATTTCCATCATATCCTTATTATCTTGCGACCTATAGAAAAGTTTTGATAAGTCTACGTAATTCCTCGCAATTCTTAATTGTGTAAATTTACATACTTGTAGAAGTAATATCCTCAAGTTTGAAAACATTTACCAACAAGTATGACTTACTGTTTTGTTTTTCCAGCGTCTTCGATAACATGAAGAATGATTATGCCATATAATATAATCAAATTTCCAAATAGTCAAACCCAATAAGTTAATAACAACGAATGTTAAAACATGATTTTTTGCATGCTCCGAGATATGTTATATTCGAATTAAAGATGAAAAACAAGTGAATTGCAAAATTCTATAAAAATGAACATTTCGATGTATAACAATAGACTTTTCACGTTCAGTTAGGCATGAACATTTTACATCTGTGACCCTTGATGATCAGCCGCAATCAATCAGCAAATCTACGATTTGGAGGGACAAGACAACAAGTTGTTATTGACTCAACATATTCAAGGCAATATACATTATTTCATTAGTTTTGAACATGTGCATATTGAAAAAAATCTGTTTGGATATATTTCCAACTAATTGAATGTATAAAATCCTGCTTTATGCCAGAATGTTGGACTATTGTTGACTTGATTTACAAAAAAAAAAATATTTGTTAACCTCCATTCGTATACTATTTCTTATATATATTTTGAAATTATCAAATTCAAAACTATGATATTATAAAATATAAATCTTAAATTAAATTTATATATATTAATATAAAAATAATTAAAATATTTCAAAACTAAAACGGCCGAATTCATTATGAATCAGAACTAATGTCATGAATCATGAATGCAAATGTAGATATTATTAACCTTGGAAAAATATAGATATGAAAAGTATAATTATATATTCATGCTAGAAAATATATTGAATTTGTATCAAATAAATCGATAATTAATTATTAATTATGAAAATATTATTTATTTTTTGATCTATTTATCTATATATATCAAATAATTTATATGAATGTAATTTGATTCATTTTGAATTATATAATTGAATAATTTATTATGATTTAAATTAATATTCTGCTTGAAAATAAGGTAAAAAACTGATTCCGTTTAAATAAAAAAAAAATTTGAAATATTTTTAAAATTACTATTTTTTCAAGAATTTTCTTTAGTCATTTTTTATATATTTAAATATGATAAAATATGTCAACATCATCAAAACTTAACACAATTTAATGTTTGAAGTTGAATCCTTGAAATCGATTTTTAATGTTTTAATTTTAAAATTTTAATATCTCATAAAATAAATTTTAAAATTTGTGAGAATTTTAATTTTATAATTTTTAAGGGATTATTATAATTTTGATGCAATGACAAATTGTAAAAGTTATCATGTTCTATTTTTACTATCTATTTGATCATTGTGGCATAAAATGATATGTAAATTACTTTTTTAAGATATCGTAGTTCATAATTTATTCTTAATGCATTATTTTCTAATTTTTTAAATATTAATATAATATAACTTGTCTGTTTGCTAAATGCAAATAGCAAGTGTAGGTTGTTTTCTTTGAAGCCAATTAATGTGTAGTTTTGAGATGAACAACATTGATATCCAAAGAGCAAATCTTTTGATCATTTTAAGAATTATTTTATCCAAAAATAATCCAAAGCAAACTCATCTTAAAAATAATTATCAAGTCAAAAAAATGTTCCATATGATATTTGAAAAATGCATTTTGGCCTCTAATGTTTTTTCATATACAAGCATTTTCCTATGGTTAAGTATCAAATAAATTTGATGCCATTTTTAGATTTTTTTTTAAAAATTATAATTTTAAAAAATATATTATAGTTTTAACAATCTAAATATGTTTGATATCTTGATTTCTATGTTCTATTTTAATGTAAATTGTTAAAATTCCATTTTTATAGTTAAATCACTTTTAAATTTCACAATCTTATTTTCCAACAGAACATAGTGATTTTCTGAATACCATATATAGTGAGCTAATCGCTCAGGTTACAACAATATGGAAGTAGATTTTTGATTTGTCGAATAAATCGAATGATCTTGATGCAACATTATACTCATAGTTGTACCAAAACACCAAAGCAGATACAAAACAAAACATGGCTTAGACATTATCATTTGAATAAAAATTTTTGAATGACCTCTTGGAGTCAGATCCAACTTTAACACCACAAGAAAACATCTATATCATATCACTGTTACTCTAATTTGTAATGGATCACAAAAAATTGCGATGTCCAACAAGATCTTGATTCTTGTAAAAAACTGGTCGCAATTGTAATTTGTCATAACGGATGTGGAGCTCGTCCCAAGGTTCACAACCACTCCATCTTGAGAAAAATACTCCCGCATCTGCCATGAGTAACTTTTATAACCTGGGCCTGTGATTGTAAAATTTACCTCTGACGAAAAAAGAACGAAGAAGTTCAAATCCCTTCAGAGCGCAAACAAATAATCTTTGGACAGTCAAAAAACCTCCCAAGGTGATTACTAATCTCCTATCCAAATGCATTCTCAGTTGACAATGCTGCATCAATTCGTGAAAATACTATCATGTTGGGAAAACGACTATAGTGTCATCGTTTGGGAGCTGGATTCAATGTACACGGGATTCAAGAGGTAGAACTCCACAAGGCGAAGACCACGGTCGACCACGGTGCAGATATGACGATGAAATCAAGGCGACTGTGGCATGGTTCCTGTCCCCAGCGTAGATTTCTGTTCCCACGAGGCAACCGCAGCTTCAGGGACTTCAGCGATATGGGTAGCGGAGAGTGATCGACCATGGCCGCTCGGCTGCCGGAAACCTTTGGTCCTAGAGAAGAACGACTTCGCGGACGTGCTGCCGCCTCCGTCTTGCGTGTTCGGACGCCGGGACGAGGGATCGAGGAATCTTTCCTGGTCCGACCGCCGGAACGAGGACGGGGAAGGGGAGGGAGGGTCCGAGCATCGGAAATGGTCTTGCACCGATGAACACTCGCATGCCGTTGGCACACTGATCTCGCCCTCGCGAGATGGCTCCGTGGAGATTACGGTTGGATTCTCGTGAGCCGAGGCGGCTCTTGCTGCCGGCAATCCCGACGGACGGGGCGATTCGTATTTGATTTCGATGGACGAGGTTGAAGAGTCCGTCGAGTACTCGACGAGTGGCGGGTTCTCGACTTCTCCAGCTTCCTTGAGCTCTGCTTGAGCTCGACCCTTCAATCGTCCATTTCCCGTCCAATCCGCTCCCGGAGATGTTTCTGTGATCGGAGCGCTGTCTGGATGTGGAACGGATCCGGCATCGCCCGGCTGTCTGAAACCTTTTGTTCGGCAGAGGAGATGTCTCGCCGATGTATTCCCGATGTCCCGATGCTGCTCGCCTCCGTCAGTCGAGTCTAATGCCTCCTGCACAGCAACGTGCAGCGGTGGTGCGTCTGTGGCAGAGGCGGAGCTGCCGCCGATTGCCTCTTGAAACCCACTCAATTCCGAGTAGAGAGCTGTGTGTGACGAGCTTCCCAGATTCTTTCTCGGACTGGATGTGTTTTCCGAAAGTGGGAGGGCATGTGACTCTCGATCATGGTGCTTGACTGAGGAGCTTTTGTCTAAAGTAATGTCCACAGGATGTCGAATTCGGCTTGAGTGCTCATCGGCGCAACACTTTGCCTCGACGGAGATCGACGATCCATCTTTGGCGGGAGCGAAATCTTCAAAAGAAGATGCTGGGCTATAGCTGGATTGTCTGGACAAACAATTGCTCCTGGACAGCAACATCTTTGCGGAAGAGCACTCGGCACTGGCTGTTAACTTCCCATCTCCCGTTTTTAGTTCCTCTTCCAGTACTGGGGAGGTGGATGCATCTGCCATGTGAGCAGCAGTCTTTGAAGATTCCTCTTCATGATCGTGTTGATTTGGAGGCTTCGCTCTGCTTGGTTCATGGTCCTCGGACGGTGTCGTGAGCTCTTTGCTCGATAACGACCGACCGGTGCTTCCTTCTAGAATTTCGTGGATCCGGGAGAAGAACGACTTTGCCGATGAACTTCCGATGCTGTGTGCAAATCTCAAGGCACCTCTCCTCCCCGTGTGGGGGTAAGGTTTTGGAGAAGGAAGAGACGAGGCGTTTTGGTGCGTACCTGCGCGTCCTACATCTCCATTGTTTGCACGCGGTTTTGAGGTACATGGTTCGGATGCCGATGCTCTCTCGGAGGCTGTCGCTGGTTCTATCGCAAGAGGGGATTTCTCTGCACATGGATAATTTCCTATCGCTAATGATTCCGAGACGAGGTAGTCATACTCTCCTGACGAGTTCCTGGAACCGTAAACCGTAGGCATAAGGTCCTCTCCTTGCTCGCCTCCTGGTGACTTTCCAGGATCCGTAGGCTCATCGAGCAGCACCTTCTCGCCACTGCTGGCAAGCGTCACCGTGCCAGTCGTGGTTCCATGTTGAATAACACGAGTATCCTCCACAGTTGGAGCCGGGAATACGTCTGGTGCCTGACTGCGCTTCTCTGCCGGCTGACTTCTGCAATGATTTGGATCCCTGATGCCCTCTGCTCTCCTCAATTTTCCAGGTCTGGGTGGTGCTTCACTCATCTCCAAACCCGGAGCAGCATATGGAAATCTTAACGGGTCTTCTGCCAATCGCATTTCATGAGAAAACTTCTATTAATGCGCTGGACGCTCTCAGTTCGTTCGTGCCTCGGATATTCCAGATTTCGACCTTTCTTTCCAATAAATCAATGCACATTCTGAACATCCAGTGCAAGCTTTTGAAGTCCAAGCAGCACGCAGTTTTGAAATTGCAGCAAAGCTGCGTGCATTTCCCACACGTATGGACTGAAAAATTCATTCCGGTAAACTATGCGCCATCCAACTTTCAATGCAACTCGTATCCAGTCATGACCACCCGATGCGTTTGTGTTTCAATGATGTCATTTATTAGAGCTTTCTGTGGGGGGCGATCGTCTACAACTACAGATCGGACGGGGGACTATCCTGTGAAAGACAAAAAATACATCTATTTACGTGCATAAACGGACAGGTTACCAGTGTGCACTATGCTGCGTTTGATTCCCTCGGAACTTTTGCAGTCAATCTAACTTGAGGTGCTCCCTCCAAGTTCAGGGGAAGGAGGTGGGGGTCTAGTCGGAGGTGTCGAAGGAGTCGTGTCGGTGGTGAAAGCAGTGTCAACATAACCGGGGTCAGACGGGGAGTGGAGAGGTGTATTTTCTTCTGAAATATGCGTGTGGTCTGTGCTTTGATTTGCCAAGCTAGTATGGGCGGGGCTATTGCCGACGGGTCGCTCCTCACCAGATCTTTGTGGTGCTGCAGGATGGAGTTCAACCTCAGTCTGATTATCTGCGGGTGCTAAGGATGTAGAATCTGAGTTACCCTCAGCCGTACCCTCGGAGACCAGTCGTGAGCTAATAACTGTGGTATGGCAATCCTTCCCGAGTTCCTCACATGATGGTAAAACAACACGATTATCAATATCAAGGCCATCATCATTATGATCATCTTTCGTACGCAAACTCATGAAAATATCATCCTCCAGTGCAGAGTTTTTGGATCCAAGAGATAAATCTGGTGCAGCAATAGTCGCAGTGTCAAGGGAACTCTCTTCAGCAGCAGCTGATGTGGAGGTGGGAATACTCTTTGCCTGAACGTTATCATCCTCTCTCGGAGGGTCTGGGTGACCGTTACTTGGGAAATGTTGATCAGGAGTATCTGAACGTGCTGAAGGGGAGAAGCTGTCTCGAGATCGGTGGCATTTACCTGTTTCTGCTTCAGAGATATCAGTCTCGTCACCAGTTTCGGCAACAGTCACTGTCATTGATTGTGCCTGTGTGTTCGACGGAGATTCATGTTGCAAGATCACCTTCTTATCTCCCGTCGGCTCCCCAGTGGTTGGAGTCTTCGCGACATCATGCGTCTCATCGTGCCCTTTAATTGCGAGTTGCTCCTCAAGATTCTTTCCTGAAGGACTCAGCTTCTTGCCTGATGGACTCCTCATTTTCGCAATGGCAGAAGTAACGTTGGTAGCCTTCCTGCCAATTTTATGAATAATTTTTTGCACTTTGTTCCTGCCACCTTTGTGCGATGCGACCTCGTCCAGAGCCTCGTCACTACCTTGCAGAAGCTCGCCAGAGCTTGGAACAATGTGACCGGACTTATCAACATTACACACCTCACCATTCACTTCCACTGTCGTTTGCACTACCGTGCCCCTGTCAGAGTGAGCAATAACAACCAATTCTCCAGAAGAATCCGATGAAGACGGATGTTTTCCCTTCACCCCGAAGAAAGTCTTCAGTCTAGATCTTCTGCTTTCATCTGCAACACCTGAAGGACTCGAAGGATGAGCTAGGTTGTGGGCCATCTTTTCAGCTTTTTTGACCGCAAGTTTCCTCCGGCGACGAAGACGTTCAGAACTTGTAGCCTCCTTCACCTCGCCTTTACCAGGGGTGACGATGGACACTGCCCCTGGTTTCCCGTATCCAACATCCACGATCTGGGTGTCGCACTTAACGGAACATTCCTCCTCGTCTGTCTCTGATATCTCTTCATCGTGAACTTGTGTTTGGCTATCTGGTGCACCTTTGAAAGGATCAGAACTTTTAAGCTTTCTCCCCACTGATGAAGAATCAATTTCTGGATTGAAACTCTGCATGAAAGTGCATGACCACAAGTCAGTTAGAATAAATTATTGATACCACTCTCGCTTCTTAAAATCTACGAAGATGAAGGAGTCCCGAATCTGACCATAAGCAAGTTCTATCCGGGGCCAAATCTCAAGGTAGTGCGAACGACTGAAGATATGTTCTGACTGTGATCTGCATGTGACTTAAGCATACGTCCTCCATTACATTTTGGACCCCAAAGCTTACTTGCGGAGTGTCGAGGACCGTCGAATCCTTTTCTGCGCCTGGAATATAAACGATGGCTACACGAAGCTGTCCGGTTTTCACTTTGTCGAGGATTAACTCCATCTCATGTCTCTGTTCATCGTGGAATGACTGACAATCGATCTCCGCGAAGCTAAGTATACGTACAAGGCAGAAGTGTTCAATTACATTAGTTCTGAGAAGATACATCAGCAGCTAATTCATCATCTAACTAAACTGTTCTTGAAGCAAGATATCGCCACAGAACTTGCACTAAAAAATTAGAAGATACTTCAAAGAGTACCACTGATACTTCGGTTACGGGATTGAAAACAACCTTTTCTCATTTTTACTAGTACGATTATCTGAATCTAAGAGGTCTTATAGTTACTGAAGAAACTTTCTTTAGCAGGAAAAGAGTTAAGTCGACAATTTCTATGAAATCTACTTGCGAACATAGTGTGCAAGGGCGGACCCTGGCATCTGCAATAGTGAGTTTTGGCCTAAAATAATCATGCGCTGAAGACTTACACTTAAAATAATAACTAAAAAGCAAGTCATAACACTACACAAAAGAACTGTTTTCGCAGGACGAGATTATCAGGAGGTCACGAAGAAAATGAAATCTGTGACGTCTAGTTACAAAATTGTATACAAAACTCGATATAAAACATTTTAAGACTGAAAGTTGAGAAAAGCAAAACCCAGCAATACAATCAGGTGGGGTTTGATAAAATATTACCCCATGTTATCATCGTGGCCGAATCTGTCCTTATCCAGCACACGCAGCAGGAGCTTGTTAGGCTGGTCCCAGCTGTGGATAGGGAATTCAAAAGTCTCATGCCACGCTGGTTGAAGGGTTTTGTGTTTAATACTAGTCGTATATTTTGTGGAACCTAGCTGAAGCTTTACATAGGGATCTGCTTTACCTGAAACCGCGAAGCAAATCAGGCATTAAAATGCATACCACGCTGCTTTTAAAGTGGTGCGTCCAATAGTAGTCATATAATTTATGGAACCTAGTTGAGGCTTTCCACAGGGATCTGCTTTACCGAAGCAAAGCAGGCACTAGAGTTCTAAGCCGAAACTCTACGAAAAAAAGAAACACCGACAGAAATAGGACACGGTTGGCCCAACGTACCGTTTGGATCTGAAGGCTTCATCTTCTTTCCGTCTATTATCTCAACCCTCAATGTTCCTACTTGAGGCAATTTCGGATTCATTACAGAAAAACAATCGCCTGCTCCAGCACAAATACGAGATCTTATCAAATACAATTCGACATTGTATTGAAAGGATATAGGACCTGAATGTTTCATCGATCAACCAAAGTGTTTCGGAGATCAAGGTTGATACCTATTAAAGCATTTGTAATGCCCAAACGCACCTCCTTCAGGAAGAGCACACACATCGAATTGCAAGCATATACAAGAAGGCTCCTCTAGAGCAGAATGAGACGTTTACAATCTTACCGGGACTGTCTAGACCTGCACCGCTGGTAGGCTGCACCATTGCACTTACAGACATCATGCTGCCCACGAGGTTTTTCACATCAACAACGAGCATATTTGGCTGCAAACAAATCATCCAACCGACGTAAATCCTAATGAAAACATGACCCGTTGCCATCATGAAACGAGTTACATAATATTCTGCGATAGAAAGAAACTAGTGACGGACGCAGCCTGCTGCGTCCGTCACTAGTTCGACAAAAGCACAACTCACCGACCACCCTAATTTAGTAGTAAAAAACTCCGAAGACTCTTCAAGGCTAGTCTTGCAAGTAAACGTGAGTCGAGATTTTGAGCTGAACTCACCTCAACAAGCGATTGCTCCAGTGCATCGGCAATCATTTTATCCTGTAAAGATTGCCCAATGGTATGAGAAGGATAATTACACACAAGGCCATACTAGTCACTTACGAGGAGTGCAAGATAAGAAGAACTCAACAAGTTTTGTGCTTACCACCCAGCCCGCAACTCCAGGAAGATCAGTTACGTCAATACCGTAATTGAATATAGGTTTGGCAGTCATTTGGAGAATTGGAGCCTCTGAAAAAGAGACTCGTAAACGCTCAACCACGGGCCATCCTGAGGTAAACCTCACTCCCACGCGGAGCTGCACTAAGTCCACAACAAGGTAATTCATTTCACAATTTAGCAAAGACCCGAAACACGGTCATCTGCAGTTTATCACTAACGCTTCTTGTTTCAATCGCTGTGGTCTCTTCCCTTATTTCAGGGAAATTTCTTCTTTGATGGTCAAGGGGAAAATTCATACCTTTCCTTCAATCTGTACATTTGAGATATTCAAAGAAGTCCAAATGCCGAACCCAACTCGCTTCTTCATTTGAACTGCAATGACTGCACTCATATCTCCTGCCGCCACAAACATCATACCCATCTCCAGCACCTAGATCAGTCCAAAAGCTTCAGAGATTAGAAAACCGAGTGCAGTAAACAAGAAATTTTCAAACAATTTTCATTCAGCAAGCTTAATTCACTTACCAAGTGATCTCCGTCTGTAGGATTGCGTCCACAACGCAGCATCGTAAAAACTGGGGGATTTCTCCCCAGACATATTTTCTCCAAAACAACTTTTTTCTGCAGTTTTCAAAGTGGTAAGATATCAATTGTAGGGATGTAACTGCTGAGCAAGTATCAGAGCGACTACAAACCAAAATTTTCCAAAGACACTTCTCAACGACCTTTTGTTAGAACCTCAAAGTTCAACAATATAACTCCAAGACCTCAAGGTGATGTGAAACGGCAGTGAGTTCAAGGTGTCCCTCAGGAAGTGCAAAAGTTATACTCCCAAGATAACAATTTCTCTCAAACCAAGACGAACCTTCAGTTAGAATGATTCCAGGTAGAGAATCTATGACTAATGTAAATTACGCTCACCTACATCAAACTTAAGTCCTTTCAATACATCTGGACAAACCGCTTGGATTATGACAGCAACTTCTGGTGATCAAAGAGCATGACCAAAGCGCCGAGTCTGAGATAAAGCCACTGGTACCTCTTGAATGACCACTAAACACCTCATGGTGGTACTTCTTTTCTAATTACTAACAGATTATTGCACTTTACTGAAAGATGGAAATACCGAATCACCGCTGACCACGTAGACCACGAGAACCATCCAGTGGCGAGGACTACAGAGACAACACGGAGAGAATCCAGCTGTGCTAGGCGTAGAGTGATACATACAGTTATCCCCGGTTTGTACTTCTCCAGGAACCAAGGAGCTATTGGCATGAGAAATCTCTGAGAAGCGAATTTCTCCATAAAAATAGGCCAAACGGCTTCGACCGAGGAATTGAGCCATCGAGCGGTCTCCGCATCCGACAACAGCTGCACAGTTTCAACAAAATCAGCAAACCCCTCGGCGCAGGTCACGCAAAATGGACGAGACTCCACGCTCACTGATGAACACCACGAGAAAAGAGACCTGAAAACAATACCCGCTTCCGGTCGTGGAATTTCCTTTCATCGCTCCTGATCCTGCTCTCAAACTTTGCTTTCATTCTTCCTTCGACCTGTAACATACAAGAAGGCATAAAAATGAACCTATTTCATTGGAGATGGAGAACGCGCTGTTACTTTCATGAACGTATAGTGAATGCTACTCATGGCGGCAGTTTTATCCAAAATTCGAAGCTCTGCTCTTGGCAGCTAAAACCTCAGACTCGCTTGTAGCACAAATGCGGTCAGAAAGTAGAAGGTAGAATCCGAAGCACGCACATAGTATAAATAGGCGAATCCAACGGTGAAGACGAAGGGTAAGTTGAAGCTCCAGAGAGAGGCGATCCACCCGACACTCAGGACCAGCGCGACATGAATGAGGAAAGGAGGAAAATGGATGCACCGATCCATCGCTGAGACTTCCCTTCTCCTCTTAGCTACACCCATTTTCACCAGTCCAGCCCAACACAATGAGCATCCGTCTCAGTCAAACATCCACTTGCCGTGAATTCCATACTCCGATTTAGTGCACTCCCACATACTGTGCTGAACTCTAGTGCTCGAATTTTCCATCATCTGACAAAAAACCAGTCTAGAGTTCAAGTTCCTACAACTCCCACTCCAATTCCGCACCCATCACAACTATTCCTGCAACTTGGACAAGCAAATTCTCACAAATCAAGCATTCCCGTCTCAACATACCACCTCTAGCTACCTATCTACGTAGCTACCTCGTCCAAGATCGAAACTCACACACCCTCCCAGCGCTCGCTCTTCCGATCGATACTTTTAAGAGCTCGATTTCCCCTCGCACTGCGAACGTGGTCGAGGCCCCCGGTCCCCTCCCCTCTGCACAGATCCCTCCGACAACCATGCGCATGCGTGTAGAATCGACAGTGGAGATCGAACTCTGTTTCTCCCGTCCCGCAACCCCGCTCGCCAGCGAATCTATCTGGATCGAACCTGAGATGCTGCCGGAGTCCCGAGTCCCAAGTCCGGACCGAGTCATTTCGATGACTATTTTGTCCCCGTTCTCTACGTGGTAATAGCGTTGGGGTATATATAAACGCACAGTACGACGACCACTATCCTTGGACTCGAAAATATCTGTCGCGCCTAATCTGGACAATTCTGCGTGTACACACCTCTCCAAAACGGTACAGGCAGACCCGAGTTAGGCTGTCTGTGGTTAGGTTGGGGTAACTTCCACCAGGTTGCGGCGATTGAGTCGGATCCGCGATCCGTCCTTCGTCCGATCGAATAAAGCATGACTTTGACTGTGTAACTATTTAATACGTAGGGTCCCAGCAAAGCACCTCGTCATGAAGCAGCTAGACCTGGATTCACATGGCATTCTGCAGATCTTCATTCGCCAGGTTAGGCCTACGTGATAGGAGAGAAGTACACGAACACACGGTCACGTAGCTGCTACGTTTAGAAGACTGCCAGAGTAAGTAACTGAAGATTGCAGGTTTTTGCAAACTGACTGAACCTTGTGGGAACTCTTGCAGTGTTTTGCACCCGCAACAAATCACTCTTACCCAAATAAAAGCTTCACCTTGATGGACGTCATGCGTGAGTGCCAATCCCGAAGATCTCACTACATGAACTCAAAACCAAGATTTTATTTGGATATGTTTAGTTTTTATCTCCGCGTTTTCACCGCGGACAATTTGTTTGATCTCAATATGATATGAACACATGGTACAGAATCTTTGAAACGAGTTTTCCCTTTTTGGCGTTCTCCATGTTCAACTAGTTTTCTCTCTTGCTGCAAGAGACAAGAGTATCATAAATTCAATCATGAGAGCTTGCAAACTATGTTTGAGTCGTTGTATTTAAGCTCTCTTCCTTGTATTTGTTTAGACCATAAGGTTGGATCAATAGGTTCATTTTTATTTGTGAGTTGAATCTTAATACGTGGTTCTTTACCTTACTTTTGAGATCAAAATGAATTTGGTTTAGTCCACAAAATCTTAGGAGTTTATTCAGGTTAGATTTACTCTTGTTAGAAGAACTAACATTAGTCTCTCAGCAAAGAAAAGAGCTGTCTGTATCTCCAAATGACATATACTTTAGTTTTTCAGTGAAATATTCATGATCCTGTGTACAAAGGATTATGAATATTTTTGTTGCACAACAAACAAGTTTGTAATAAGTTTGTTGCACAACAAACTTTATGTAAGCTTCTAATGTTTTTTTTTCCCTTAGTTGTTGAGTTTGTTAAATTATCAGCATTCACACACCTCGGAATGTTTCCACCTTATTTTGAGGTTTTTGTTTGACAGACAGTTTGACTGATGGTAACTTGTCCACATACAATTCGCTTTCCACCGTATTTTGAGGTTTTTGTTTGACAGGCAGTTTGACTGATGTTACTAGTCAAAAGACAATTCGTTTACATCAATTTTTCTGGCGGCACCGGCTTGGTGTGTTGTTTTCCTTGTTGATCTCCGTTTAGTTGATTTTCCAACTGTTTTGAATTTCATTGCGTCTCCTTTTCTCAGTTCTGATAGTATCTATACCAATTTGACGTTATTTGGTTCGCATTATATGGAGTTTTGAACCGAATCTTTGAGAAAAATGGTGTGCAATGTTCCAAGTTTTATGACTTTACTCCGCAAGATATTTCAAGTTGTAGGGTAAAACTACGTGAAAGTGTACAAGAGATGAACTTGTCATAGAGAAAATGTCTGCACACAAGATACGTCTTAGCTATGTACGTAGATTATGGAAGTTCTGAAGTGAATCCTATCTACAATAGTCGAAGTAAAACTAAATTGCTAAACGTAGAAAAAACTTATAAGTGCGCAAAATTTTACATCTGAGTATCAACAAGGAAGTGTGTGGGGTCCAAGTGATTGGTTTACATGAAATGACAAAAAGTACACTTGTCCACATTCCAAGAGTTTGCGCTACTTGTAGAGAAGCAGACTCTTCATGAAATAAAGCAGTGATTGGAGAATAATCTCCACTGAAGCTCAGTAAAAAATATAGTAAAAGTAGCAGTCAACGGGAATTAGCGATTTACAGATCTTCGTTTTTATATTTACTTTTATACTGTAATGTAATACTTTATTTTGAAACAAAACAAGACTGTCATGTGAATAGGATGCTACGTCAGTACAGATCATACCCTGTGTCCAGCCTATTACAGGGTGCCGCCTGTTAACCCATGTAGCAAAGTCGTTTTTTAGGCGTCCAGCTGTCATTTCAACTCGTCCATATGAAACGTTACGAATCTCTACAGGGTGTAGTGGAACGTTGCGTTGTATCACTTTTCGTATTATAGTATTTCCACGCTTCGTCCTCCTCTTTGACTTGCACACAAGGTTAGCTACGTCACAGCTCAGTTTTTATTCCTTATAATATGATTATACATGCAAAGGAGACGCGGTTGATTCATTTTCTACAATTTTTTGTTTCCACAGAAATTTGAAGCCCATTGGAGCTTTGAAAACATGCAGCGAGTCCATGTATTGCGCACGAGGGAAGTACACAGTCCATGGTCACATCAAATAATTGCAGCCTATAATGTTGATAAACCTGCTCTTTATCCTTCTTATTGTTTACATTACTGGAGACGATGCACCTCTTGCACCCGCTCATGTATTGTTGCCGGTGAAAGGATATTCTTTACAGGATCAGAAGTGTCACACATTGTTTCTGCTGCAGTAAGACCTGATCAAAATATATTAATACTTGATGATTCGAGAGAAAAACACGCACAAACATTCTTCTATTGTCCGAACGGAAGTTTGCGCACCGTATTCATATATATGCAGCCAAATGGACCAACGACAAGCAGCATGATCACGCACAAACATTCTTCATTGTCCGCACGGAAATTTGCGCAATGTATTCATATATATGCAGCCAAATGTACCAACGACAAGCAGCATGATCACCTCCAGCATCAAATATGTGTGAACAATTATCATCACCTTAAAATTTGCGACAATGGAATATGGATGCAAAGTCATCAATCTCGTACCGGAGATGTTGTAGAAAACATTGATTTGATTGTTCTGCTGGATAATCGCATATCTTCTCATGCAATCGCCGTATATACCTTTTCGTGTCTTTGGTACTCAAACGGAGGAAACATCATTGCCTCCAGATCCTTCTTGACATCTAATGGAATGACTCAATCCAATGTTCTTTGATAGAGTCAAGGAAATCACTGTGGAGGAAGTCTGGACTCCAAAAACGTAGAAACAAATCATCGCAAAATACTCCCGTTTTGCAAATCATCAGATCTTACCGGAGGACCTGGCATTCTCTGGCGTGATTGTTACATATACTAACATGTGTGAGCTCGTTCGGATAAGTCAAAAGGTATTATTAGGAACTGGCTTTCAAATGATGCACTACTTGTAGAAGCATTCTGAAGTGATCTTCAGTCGTTAGTGGGAATAAGTCAAATGCCGTAGTGAGCTCTTGCCCATTTCGCCCCAACACTAAGTAATCTGCAGAGCTAAGTCATCAATATGACATGTTGAATGACTTATGGGTTAGGCAAATCTTTTTCAGACTCCTTTTAAATGATAGTATCGATCGGGGCTAAGTTTGAAATTGTGCAAGTAAGAGTAAATTGTTTTATATTTGGAAGGATGATATAAAGATATATTTGATGAAGAAAATATTGTATTTATCATTTCTTTTGTGCTAGTTTTAGAATCATACTTCTTTATGTAGCCCCTAGAGAGGCTAGTGATACATATTGTCTTATGTGTTGTGATCTTTTTACCTTACAATTGCTAAAATTAATGATAAAAAATGAAATTGATGGTTTTGTATTGCCTTGTAGTATAACATATCAATATTTAACAATAAAACTATAACAAGACAAAATAGCACTAATGACTTATGTGATTGATCTTAGTTAAATTCAAGAAGTAGACATTATAAAGACTATATTTGTGGATTTTGTGATTAATTTTGATATATCAAAACAAATAGAAGTTATATTTTTCATGTATTTGTTTTGATACATTGAGCTTTTGTGAATTAATTTATATAGTAATAATTTAATCAACTTCATTGATTAGAATGAAGCAAACTTGAGTGAAACAAAATCTAATTTGATTTCTAAAAACATTTCTCTTAATTTATTGTAACACTAAAATTAAATAATTTACTCAAGGAAAATGAAACGCAATTCTAAAGATGAGAGATAAGATTTTTCTCTATTATATGAATCTTATCAACAATTACAAAAAGATAAAATCTCACCTCCATCATCCATTCACTTCTAGTGGATTGATTATATGTTTCAAAAAATGAGAGATAATTAACATGGTTGTAATCTTACTTATATGAATCTTATCAACAAGTACAAAAAGATAAAATCTCACCCCTCGCCATCCATTCATTTCTAGTGGATTGATGATATGTTTCAAAAAATGAGAGATAATTAACATGGTTGTAATCTTATTTATATGAATCTTATCAACAAGTACAAAAAGATAAAATCTCACATCCACCCGCCATTCATTTCTAGTGGATTGATGATATGTTTCAAAAAATGAAAGATAATTAACATGGTTGTAATCTTACTTATATGAATCTTATCAACAAGTACAAAAAGATAAAATCTCACATCCACCCGCCATTCATTTCTAGTGGATTGATGATATGTTTCAAAAAATGAGAGATAATTAACATGGTTGTAATCTTATTTATATGAATCTTATCAACAAGTACAAAAAGATAAAATCTCACATCCACCAGCCATTCAGTTCTAGTGTATTGATGATATATTTCAAAAAATGAAAGATAATTAAAATGGTTATACTTTTACTTATATGGATGGTATCATCAAGTACAAAAAGATAAATTCTTATCCATCACCATCCATTCAATTCTAGTGAATTGATGATATGTTTCCAAAAATGAGAGATAACTAAAATGATTATATTTTTACTTATCTGGGTGTTATCAACTTATACAAAAAAAGAAAATCTCATCCCCAACCATCAATTCAATTCT